GAGCAATGACAGTTGGTGAGTTTATTGTGAAAGATGAGCTCCTTTATCTTGGAGATGTTAAGGAGGAGGTGACTGTCAACAGGGGTGCGGACGTTGTTGTTGCAGCAGAGCATGCATCAAAGTAATTGCAGACTGCAGTTTAAATCCAGTAGTCGGAGGTAATGCAACATTTTGAATGCCAACCACCATTAAAAACCAAAGAAGAAGAAGAAGAAGAGGAAGGTCAGAATCTGCTGTCTACTTCATGGATTGTACTGGAGGATAAACTCACTGACTTCAGTGATCCCCTGACTTTAAAATTTTGTTGTCCAGTACTTTGGTTTATGCCCTGATACCTGCAAAACTAATGACATCACCTTCATCCTCAGCTGTACTTTGTCTAAATGCTAACTACCAAATGCTAACCTAGGATAGTGAACATGGCAAACATTATACTCTCTACACATCAGCGTGTTAGCATCATTACTGTGAGCATGTTTGCATGTCCTAAGCACTGAGCTTACAGCACCACTGTGCCCATCTGTATGTCCATGGGCTAGTACTGTAGGTCTTAAAATAAGGTGTGGTCAGTTGCAGTGCTGGCATATTGTGAGGCAGCAATCATGGACAGTGATTGTGTCATTGACCAACAAAAAGTTTAAAGTCAGAATGGTGCAGTATTTTCCTGCTATTTAAAGGGCACTTTATTTAGATAGTAAGATGTGTCAACACACGTGGGTTCATAATGCCAGAGACCGTTTATAAACCAAGATGACCCACTATAGAATTTATTTCCGGTATCTCTTTCTTGTGGGTTTCAGTGCTGCCTCGCCCCTTTAGGAGACTAGCGGTGGTCCTGAGTCTATTCATTCCAATAGGAGAAGGGAACGTGAGTACAGATTATGACCGTTTCCTACGCCCAATAGTCACTGAACTAAATGTTGGACCCATTTTTCACAAGCCTCTACCCCTCTAGACATTCTAACACGTAAATGGCATACTTTCAGACAAACAAATCAGAAGAAAATGAACTTTAAGACATGTCTCCATTTTAGCAAGACACAGACTTCAAGCTAGCAGATAAAAACGAGCAGCATAATAAGGAACAAACATTAAATCTGTGCTGTATCTAGTGTTGTATAGTCAATAGTGTTTTGAATCTGATTTCATTCATCTATGTCAATGGTTAATACACTTCCAAACAAGGTGGGGGTATGTTGGGGTGAAACAACCACGCCCACTAAGGAGACAGGAAGTGTATACCATTTCGTACCAGCGGCACAGCTTGTGATGGGGTATTTTCTGTTATAGACTATCTTTGATAATGCCCATAAACTCTGCTTGTTACACACAAGGACACACAGATGGGTTGTGCGTGGGCGAAATAATAATATATCATTGATGGGGAAAATAGTAATTACAATCTATGAAATTTGAACATAGCAGACATCAGAGCAGAGCTGCTGTCGGACTCCCCATTAAGAAGGATGCTGTGCGTATTTACCCACAAGGACCAGTGTAACTTTACTGATCATTTCAGAGGCTATAAGTTTAGTTGTACTTCCTCTGTCAAATTTAGGTTTTTGGTTTTGATGCTTAAATTTCCCACGATATTAAATGCAGTGACACTACCACTTTTTTTTTTTGCATTACTCTCAGCAGATAAATGTTTGGTGCAGGCTTTTAAAGGGAACGGGTGAAGACTCTCTCTGGTTGAATTCATGTTATTCCCAGAGCACACCTATGATTCACTAATGGACTAAATACAACCCCTTAGCCCCATTGCACCTTACTTTGTGCTCAGATTTTGAACCATTTAACTAGCAAAAGTGGAGTTGGACATGCCTTAAATGCACTCGTCAAATGCACTTTATACCATGTGCTACTGATCATTTGAATAGAGCCTTTAGCCTTGCTGTGTGGAACTGGTTTAAGGGGCATCTTGAAGGGATGTTTCAAGCCTATCATCTCAGGTTTTCGCCAGCCTCTGGAAAATCATGTCAGTTTTCTTTAGAATAAAAAAAATAAAAAATAAAAATAAAAAATACAAAATTTAAGTTCTTTGGGATTTCATCTAAAAACAGCGCCATAAAAAAACAGTCCAGCCAAACTGCATGCAAGCAGTCTGGTAAAAAATAAGCCTGATGCAGAGCAGGGCTGTGTCACTGAGGCCTCCAACATTATCTGCAAATGTAAAATCACGGCTTTGTATTGGCTGAGGATTGAAAACGGTGTGTCATTTAGATTACAAACGTTTCCTCAACAAGAGAAGATTGCACTGAGCTTTCCCGGCAGAGAGGAACAATTTCTTTAACAGATCCAGAGTGTTTCAGGAGCATGGAGGGATTAATGAGGACTGAATGAACAAGTGAGTGTCACATCAAGGCATTACTGCAGGCTGCAGGCTGACCATCTGCTCTGCTGTGACACAAACAGAGAGGACACGTGCCGCTGCTCTCTGCTGAGGGAACGCCCCCACACATCTTCACAGAGCGGGGCTCTCTTGCCCCCTACAGATGATCTTTAGTCCTGTTTTTGGCATTTACCTGCTCAGGGACAACCCCTTATTCCCAGCCACCTGTTACAGGCGGGATGTAAAAATGATCTTGTGGGACACGACAGGTAAATGATGATGTCTAATTAATTTGCAGCGTATTCCCCACAGAAGACTATGTTTACATGCACACCATAAACCAGATCACTGTGAGAAATCTGATGAAAACAGGAAACTGGACATTTCCATGCAGTGCAATAGTCAGTGCTTTAGATAAGTCTAAATACCGGTTTATAGCATACGTACTTGGTCAGATCTTCAAGAACAAGTTTACAAGTTTAGATCAGTTTCAGAATTGGGATAAAATTATTTGAGGGCTACAACCAACATTATTTATTTATTATATTTATTTTCATCATCTGTTAATATACAGATTGTTTTTTGATCAATAAATTAAGAAAAAAGACTCAAACCACATTTAGTTTACTATTATACAACACAAGAAAAGCTTCATACACTTACATTTGGAAAACTGAAACCAGCAAATGTTAAAAAAAAAATACTTAGACAATTAATTGTCAAGGTAGATGCTGATTAATTTTCTGTCAATCGACTAATCTAATAATCAACTCAGCATTTCAGCTTCAAATAATTTTAATACCAAAACCATTTAGAGAGTATACACACTGTATCCATAACCAGACCAAATAATCAGCTTCCTTTAAAGTTGTCTTTTCACCAGTACTGTAAAAATAAAAAAAAAATAAATAAATAAAAATAAAAGTGTATTTTTTGCTTTTATGAGCCCAACTTTTTTCATATCCTTCTGAGATTTCTCAGAAAAATCCCCAAAGGATATAAGAGTGGAACAGAGCATTGAAAATTACATTTCAAAGAGAAGTCTGATGATATTCTGCATTTTTCCCATTAAAAAACTCCAAACAATGAATTGATCCTACAAATGATTACTGTCTGTGTAGGTCAGGAAGCTGTAAAGTACTGAGAAATGGACAGACACACCAAACTGATAAAGGATGACTGTTATGTCGCCTCACTTTGCATATATCTTGGCTAAAAGGCTGCAATTGAAACACACCACAAAGACAACAGCTAACAGCCAACTGGCACGTACACTCTGTGCTTGCGAGAAAGAAAATAACTCTCCATACCAGCAGGCAAAAGAAGTCTATATTCCTCATTCAAAAAAAAGGAAACCAGAAGACCCACAAGACAAATTCAAGGACCAACAAATATTATATAAACAATTATGAACCGTTTTCGCTAGATAGCTCAATGGGTGAAAACATATTCTTAACTAAAATAACAATGTTAGTTTTGATCTCACAGTCTTTTGAATTTAGCCTTTGTTTACTTTCCTCACTTCTGTTTTCTCTTCTCGTACACTGAGCTGAACTGCTTAACAGAAGACTTTTATTCACCTAAGGGCTCTGCCATCTCCAATGCCGATTCAATATGCTGAATCAGCCGGAAAAAAAAGCCGACAAGTGCCAAGAGTGTAGGACACATTATGGAACCTGGGGCAACAGATGCTGACCTGACACTGGCCAACATCAGACAGACAACTTAGTGTGTCAGGGCCCTTAGTTTTGGTGTTTTCATTTGTTGACAACACAAAAACGTAGAACATCCCCAACCTTACCCTTCAAAATTCCAACTCAGATATCTCCTCACAAAGTCCTTGTTATTCTTTATAATCCACAGACCTGGCAGCAGTTTTCAACTGAAGCTACTTTTTACAGAAGAATAAAAAAAAGTTTGACCATTTATCCTTTATAAGGAAACCATATTTCTCATTTATAGAATTTGACAGTTTAGATAACAGGTCACTGCAGAGAGCCATGAATCATATTATCTTATTACATATAATGTAAATGTATCTGATTGAGAGTGTGATAAACGACACCAGTGCATGAATACAAAGTAATGAAACACTTCATGAAATGTGAACTGTTTCACATACATTACATGATCATCTTATGAAAGCCTTGTATTAGTATTCATGCATGTAGGTGTTATTAAGCTCATGACTTCATGAAACATAATATTCTAAATCTAACCACCGTGGGCGTTTGTTCAGGCATCTGTTTCACTTTGTAGGACTCATGCAATGTGTGTGCAAGATTGATAATTATTGCAAACAATACAGAAAGTGCCAGAAAAAATTGGCTATGACATTGAAAAAAAAAACAGAGCATACAGTCAGGAAACTGATGAATATAAAAGCTATTAGAGTTTTATGTCTGTCCAGGGAAAACAAAAACATGTTACTGGCTGCTGACATCTCTGTAGAGTCCCAGAAAATCATAAAAAAAAAAAAGAAACAAAGTGGTTCCTGAGACGCAGACTATAATTGTCTTCTTGTTTTATGCAGCTATTTAGCTTTTAACTTAATGGTTTTACAGTTATTTTGCTTGCGACCTCTCTGCTCGGTGCATTTCTTGTTGGGTTTATGCAGCGCTGTGATGAGTGGGACCTGTGTTGTATAAAAAGAGAGCTACACACTCACCCCTTTCAACTGCTGAGCTCCAGTGATGTGCTGAAAGACTCTGTCAATCTCCTGCTCGATACGCCTGGCCCAGTGCATTATCCTGTGGATAAACATCACAGGCTGACTGTCACTCAGCACAAACAAATGAAAAAGATACAGTTAGAGTGTGTGTGTGTGTGTGTGTGTGTGTGTGTGTGTGTGTGTGTGTGTGTGTCACAGAAACAGTGATATTGCAACAAAAATAGATGTCATCTCCACATGGATTAAAACACAAATTAAACATGGAAACGTGCTTCATTTAAAGGGAAACATTGGTGTTTTGAACCTGGACCCTGTTTTCCCATGTTTTGTGTCTAAGTGACTAATGGAGACAACAATTTTTGTACTGAGAGACGGAGAGAGCAGCTGCAGCAGCAAAAAAGGCTGCATTGTAATCCCTACGGGCAATTGGGCACCATTAATTTACGTCCATTAAAAGCGCTTGTTCATACCAGACAGACTCAGACTGTTATTATAAGTGTCCGACAACATCATGTAAAGGACCCCACAGAGAAATTAAATATTTTTGTATACCTTCCCCTTGTTTCAGTCTGTTTTGTGTCCCAGTCTCACTCAAGGACAAGTCTCGTTTTAAAATATTGTGATAAATGACTCGCTGCAGGAAAAATAACGTGGAGACATTAGCGAAGGTTGGAGAGAGCAGTGCTGGGAAGAGTTTGTAATGTTGCGAGTACAGAAAGTGTAGGTTAGTGTTATCTGAACAATTTTCAGTCTCATGCTGAATATTTAGCTGGTTTTGACAGTGTGGAATAAGTCCATGAGATTTCAGAACAAGACTCCTCCTTGAGCGAGACTTACACCAGTTACACCAAGTAGCAACCTCTGGGGCCGAAAAATGAGGCCAACATGGAAGTGCCAAAAACTGCAGTTCTTTGAATGGCCACTAGAGGCTGGCTCCTGAAGCCAGTCAATGCCCACAGATGTCCATGTTAAAATACAAAACTTCACAGCAGACATTAACATGTTTCCAGCCTAGAACAGAAAACTGTTTTGGTCTCTATAGCTAATTTCTCCATTCATGACAACTGTTTTGGGCCCTGGGGTTAAAACATTTTATTTGAGATTGATAGATAGATGGATAGATAGACACTTAATTCATCCCTAGCTCCTATAGCTCACATAAAGTCACATAAAAACCACAAATACAGTAAATAAGGTGCCAGTAGAAAAAATAGAGTACAAAAATTTGAGTCTCTAGGTGACGATTTATTATTAATTAAGGCTTAAAGTTATGTATAATTAAGGGCGGACGGCTTTGAGTGACAGGTTGTCTAAGGCTTCTCAGTCAGATCCAACCCTCGCTCCTCACAACGGCAGCTTCTTGCCCAAATACAGTCATTTCTGGCTTATAAAAACCCAAAGATGGCAACAGTTGAAATGCAGAACCATTATTTTTACAGTCTGTGAGTTGACCACAATAACAAACAGACTGGATCAGCAAGAGATACATTTCATTTCTCTGTAGGTTTTTTTTTTTCCATAATGTTGTCAGACAATTATAGTAACAGTCTGAGTCTGTTAGTGGCAAAAACAAGCACTTTAAGTGGACGTACATTAACAGTGCTCAACTGCCACCAGGGATTACAATGCAGCCTGTTCGGCGCTGTGGCTGCAGCGCTCTCTTTCTCAATACTGGAGCAATTTCAAAAGTTGTTGTCTCCATTAGTCACTTAGACACAAAAACATGGGGAAAAACAGAGTCCAAGTTCCCCTTGAACAAAAACCAAAACACATTAATATCTCTACTTCTTCTGGCTCTTATTAAAATAAATACAAATTGTTCACAGACGTACTAAATGTACAAAAAATGTGCCTCCACATTGCAAGCAACACAATTATTAATGCATCACAGATTCAGTCCATTCCCCATGGAGCAGAGTGCAGAGAAAAACTTGTAGAATGAAAAAAAGAATTTAAGAATTTAATATCTATGGAGAACAACTCAGTTTGTGAACCTCTCTGATACACTATCGACAATATCTTTTCAAGAAAAAACATTTCCATTTGTCTTATTACAACCACTAATTACACCAATTCAGCCTTTTCTAATTTCATGCCACTCCCATTGAACGACAACAGGAATAGAAAGAAGCTCAGGCAACAGTTGCATCCATGGCTGAGGTTGAGAGCAAGCCTTGAAATGTTAGTAACGATACCTAATCAGCTTTGTTGACTCATCGTCATAATTCTGTGAAAGGATGTTTCCAGAGCAAAGAAAAATACAATTTGCTACATCATTATTATATAAGTATGTAAACAGCTCTAAAACCTGCTGCGACAGCCAAGATCACTCGATGCAACTGGCATTTCTTGCAAAGCCCCCAAAATAGAACGACTAATGAGGCAGGATGAACAAAACATCTACTGAGCTGCGAGCGTTAAGAGTAACAATAACACAGGCAATTCAATGAAGGAGAGGTAGACGTGTGGCTCTAGAGTAATTTAACAGTCTCCGGGCACTGCAAATTACAGACAAGACAGTCACATCGATATTCGTGAAGAGAAGCAAATGCCTCTCTAAGTGTAAGGAACCTCAGGAATAAGGCTCGGAGCTGTGACGATCAAGTGTTGTGAAGCTGCTCAATGAAGTGTTTGAGGTCATTTAATCCAACACTGTGTTATCAGTCCTGAACCAGAGGATGTGGCTTAAATCCCCCCACAGCTTGTTTTTTAAGTGTTGGTCATTTATAGCTTGGCAGCATGATGCAGTTACATATTTTGGCAGAACACTAGTCCATACATTTCTGCCTCATGGTTAGTTACCTTAATGCAGTGGTTCCCAACTGGTGGGTCGTGATCCAAATATGGCTCTCTGGTCCATTCTGAATGGACCGCAAGTGACTTGCTAATGTGTCAAGTTTGTAAAAATCACGCTTTATTTTTCCAGTGAATTTCCAACACAGAACTTTTATTTTGAAGTGCTGTTTTCTGCTGTAGAGCGAGTGCTGTCTCTGTCACGTAGATGTCCATTAGTCAAACTGGTTCTACAACATGGCCAAACGCAAGTATGACCCTGAATGTGTACTGTGTGGAGAAAGGAGAAATCTGGACCCTGTGGCTGAACTAGTTGGGAACCGCTGCCTTAGTGGACTCCAAAAGTGTATTCTAACTAAATATTGTCAGAAAATAAACGCTTGAACCTGTAATAACATAAGCTGTGAACACGACAGATCACCTTTACAATTGATGTGGTGAACTTATGCGCAAAAAGTTGCTTATGCGGACATCCAGCAGCTACAGGACACATTAATACATTTTCATATTAAAACAGTGCTTTAAACAAAAATGGTCTCAGTGCACATGAGCATTTTAGTGCTGTTTCAGAAATAATCTCTATCCATACTCCTCCATGACCATTCACTGGCCATCAGCGTACAGGAAGCAGAATGTCTACTGTGAAGTGGGTTTTGTACTTAAAGAATATACTGCGGAGGAAAAGTAAGAGCAGGGATTTCTTTGCTTGGACCAATGATGGGTGGGACTATTACTGAAAGAAGCACATGATTATAAGGCAGTCAAGGTTGCGGAAAACAGTTTGCAAGTCACTGCAAAGCAAATACAGCAACATTAGAGCTGTACTAGCAGGGAGCATTGTCCTTTGCAGGAGGAAGCCACGGCAACAGGAAAGGAGTGCCCACACAAAAAGGACAAAAGCACAAAAGTTATGTGGAGTTAGCTACAATGTTTTGGCTTGACACACTGTAATCGATAAGACCCTATTGAGAAGCAAACATCATCGCTTTCAAATGTATCTCTTGCGCTTGCGCCTGTCAAGACTAAAATGCAACCCCAGAGTTTTCAAACTAAAACCGGGTTATTAGCGTTTTCAAAGGTCCTCCGTTTTATGGGTTCCAAGACGCCAGAGTAGTGCGAATGCCAGGTGCAGACATGGCAATAGTTTAAATCAAAAGCTTTTTCATGTGGATGTAAACAAAAAGCAACATTCATTCATTTGGAGTCATGTTTCTGGCCCTTTCATGAATATGTCCAACATTCACGCTCTTTTAACACAGTTTTTGGTCTCCACCACCTCCTGAGGGAAATATCTGTTTCTTTAGTTGCTAAACGCTCCACTGTGTTCACCAGCTAGTCACTGACTATGTCTCGTTGCCTGCTGTTACCATAAACAACACCATAAGAGCAGTGAGAGTGAATCAGAACAGTAAAGTTGTGATCCAAACAGCTGAACAATGAGCTGAAAGTCACTACAAAGCTCTGCAGAGACAAAAGAAGCTACAAATTTAGCAGGTTTATTGCTACAAGGGACACCTCTCACATTGTCATTTGATACACTGTTATCATGAAAATATAATTCATTTAACATATCTCTGTATTATGTTTTAACCCCAGGGCCCAGAACTCCATATCACAGATTCAGCTGCACTGAGCTTTAAATAAGTGATGGTATTAAATATGCACAGCTGTGTGTGTACAGACTTTGTGCTCCATAGAGAAGTAAATTCACAGCCCAGTCGCCAAAAGAAAATATTAGTATTGTACATTCTGCAAACCACCATTACATTACATTTGTACATTTCATACATATCATATCAACAAGATGGTGTTGTCATTGGAAGGTGGATAGTGTGTCCACTTAGGTGCAGACCACAGTTTGAGACCAACAAACAACAAAACCTGTTGGTTTTTGGCATGTCATCATCACTGCATTTCCAGAGGCTTTCTAGCCACCAAATGTGGGTATATTTTAGTAAACTGTTGCTATGGTTCCACCAGGGATAGTGCCACAAAAAGCATTTGTTTTTGCAGAGACATCAGTGTGTGTCGAGCAAGGACTGTACCCCCAACACTTACTTACTTACTTCAAGCCAAAACATGATCTTTTCCTAACTATAATATAATGGTTTTCACATTTACCACTGCGGTGTTGAAATATTAATATCAACATTTATTCTGGCGAGGTAAGTCATTTTTTTGCTGCGGTCAGGGAAATATTTGCATAATATTTAAATCAAGAATTAATCAAGAATTAAAATATTTCATTTGAACCAAAAATAGAGAGCAAAAGTAGTCTACACACAG